TGCTTTTTTCATTAAAAGATTTTGATGTAAAACAATGTACCGTTACCTTTTTTAGGACATATTTCTCCTGAAACACAATTTTTGTGGAGCTGAAGAAGGATTCCGAACACTGATGAATTATACGCCAAACTGTCAACTGAAGACACAAAAATCGGCATCGGACACAGTTTCAGCACTGTCAAAAGTATATTTATCGTTTGTTTATATGATGTTATTTCTTTATCTTATAAGCGTTTGATAAATAGTTTATTATTTTACATATAAAATTAAACTGTGACAAACTGTAAAGTGACCAAAGTTGACATATACCTAAATTAATTTTATTTAGCTGTAATAATGACAAAATTAGAGCAAAAAGCCTTAACAGAACTTTTTGAGTTGGCTGAACAAACAAAGCTTATCACAGTGATGCAATTCTGAACTGGCTCCAAAGTCAAAATTTCCTTCAACAGTTTGCTAACCTTTTTTGATAGTTCTTCCAGAACAATAGAAGAAAGCTCTCTAAAAAATCATATTTTTACACTAAAATGCTTTGTACGATAAAGTTATCAAGAAACACATTTCTGCTTTGCTTAGGACGGTCTGAAAGCTAATTTTAAAGAAAAAGCCAACTGAGAAAAATTGCAAAACGAAGTGAAAATTTGTAAGAAACTTGTCCAATAAAGGATTTTTTAAAGAAGGCACCAGACGATTAGATATTCTGTAAACAATTTTCAAAACTTTTTTGTGGAAAATTATTATTGTAGTTATAGGTGCTGTCTTAGTTTTCTTTATCAGGTTTTGCTTGTTTTTTTATTTTAATAAAAATTTATGGTTGAACAAATTATTATCATCTTTGAAGCACATCATCGTTCAAAAAATTGGCTTTTGTTGAACCGAAAAAGAGTGTCAAGTACTTACGAATTGTCACTTAAAGTCGCAAAAGTTTATTATGATTATAGTACCGAAAAACAGTATTGTAGTTTTTGACAAAACTTCTTTTACAAAATTTCTTCACCTTCTTCTTCTTATTCTAGAAGAA